CGAGTGCAATCGTAGACCTTGGCGGTAGCGAAATGTGGCGTTACACACGTCGCACTGAAACGACTTTTCACTCGCATGCGACAACAGATGTACCTGACAGTTGCTCTTGCTCTGGAATTGTTCGCCGCATTCCTCGCACTGATACTTGTAATTAGACACATTGTGGCAGTTCTGATGAGTGATTAAGTTCTCTTTGCGGGTGGTCACGTAGTCACAGTTGTCACAGCTAAAACAGTCTTCGGCTGCAACATGCTTCTTCTGATGCTCACGCAGCTCTTGTATCGTCATGAAGGTACAGCCACAATTCTCGCAGACTAATTGCTCATCTTGCTGCATTTGTTCTTCCGAATGAGATTCATGCATCTTTAAATGCACATTAAAAGCTTGTTCACAGATGAAATTGCCGCCACAGAATTCGCATTTCAAGGTACTCTCGTGAGCGAGCGTCTTCTTCTTCGATCGTTTGGAGTCTGTCTGTAACTGCTTCAGCTTGACCGGTTTGATGAAGATCTGCTTGATTACGCTGGATCCGCACTGCTGCCGATCCTGAGGCAGCACCGAGAGTCTTGACACAAAATATCTGGAAAGAAGAGAGACACAAACGGAAGTCAATCAGTGCTCGTTCCTCGCTGCCTTTTTCGTTGCCTTAACCAGGCCTTACGTGGTACGCGAGATATGTACAGGGATGATCAGCTGAATACTCGTGCTCGATTGTATGGAAGTTGGGTAGTCAATAAAGCGCCTCACTTGTGATTTCCAGTATTCTCTTTATTACGTAGCCATCTGCCTTTTATTTTCTCTCATCAATGTCTTATTATACGCTTAAACAATGATTATTCGCGAACGAACACCGTCGTCTTCTGTACTACTCGTTGTACTTGCAACCTTGCTTACATGACCTTGTAGCATACAATTCGCAACTACAAAATACTAATATTTATATTCTATGCTTTCTTAATACTAATGTTGTGTTTGTATTGTGTTTGTTAATAAAATGTGGCCGTCTTAACAATACTAATTATATTAACAATCATACCACATTTTCTTTTCTTCTAAGTGCATAATCTCACTATTTCTTGTATATACAGAATGTTGTATTACTATCATACGAGTCATAAATTCAATTATAGATTTTCCGAAAAATTTTGAATTACTTAATTTCCTCTCATAGAAAAAGTAAAAATTGTCCATAGACTTCCATAATCTTTAATATACTTGCAGATAAATAATTTTTAAATTGAAAATTAGCATTAATATAAAATAATTAATATTATTTGATACCACATTCATTTGTTCCAAAGAATAATATTATTTGGTACATCCATTTGTTAGGATTAATTGATTAAAATTTGATTTTCAATTGTTTATACCCAATGTAAATAATTTATATTTTTTAATTGAGCTTTTAATACCTAAAAAATGCGTCCTATTATCGCGCCGAACCTTAAGCAAAAGTTCGAGCAGAACTTCAAGCTCAATTAGGCCTCAAGCGAAATTTTAAGCCAAACTTGAAACCGAATTTAGAGAAGAGCTTTGAATCAAATCTCGTATGTGATATAGTTCGAAACTCCCTTTAAGGTTCGACTCAATAGGACTATCTCGAGATCGAAAAAATATCCTACAATAGAAATACCCTGTATAACATACTCGTATAAATGTACATTTTTCTTTGCACACAGTTTTATTACTATAATTTATTAATTTAATATTATATAATAAAAAATTATTATACATACTTTTATATAAATGTTAAAAAGAGTTTTCATTTTTTTTCTTAACTATATAAAGGAGCAAAAAATCAACTAAGTAATCGTAATTAATGTCAATAGGAAAAATCTTATAGTATGCAACATTATATGAACCTTTTGATAAATGAATTATAGAAAATTAAGATATTGTTTATATCGCGAAATAACAGCTTTAATTTGTTCATGTAATACTTGCATATTACAGAAAATTATGTCCCTTGATTATAGTTATTTGGATGTTAATATTTTTTGTCCATATTTCTAAAATTTAAATTACAGATCGATATTGAAAGATTATTCGCTTGAACAATGATAGCGAATAGTACAACGTCAAACAGTGTAAGTTTGAAGTATGAAGTTCAAGCAATCGATCACTAGAGAAACGATAATGCAGATACTTTTCATCAACATTTTGTACTTTTTATCAACTGTATTCATTTGCACTTAAAAAAATTCACAAGTGTAAAAAAAAACAAAGTAATTACTTATAGTTAATAGTTTTCCTTAACTTATTGAAGTTAATATTTTTCGAATTAATTATGTTAATTCGCTTCAGTATGCTTCAATATAAATTTTATTTTAGTACCACAAATATACGTGTTTCTTAGATTTTATTTATTAAAACATTTATAGAGAAGTCACATTCTGCTTACATTACAATTATATTGAATTGTAATGTCAAAAATCAGAGAATAAATAAAGAAAATTCTTTCAAAAATTACATTGAGCATAAATATTTTTTAATAAAACCTTTCTAATTAAACATACTTGAAAAACATATCAAGAAAACTCTTCTTTTATTTTTAAATAAAATAAAATATATATTTATTTTAATTTAACAACTGTCATATTTCTCGGTTAAAATTCAATTCCAGATATATACAAGGTGAGTCACTTAAAACTGACCATCCGAATAGTTTTGGATTATAGTTTTGGAAATAGGAAAAATGTTTCAGATGAAAGTGGAATCGAGACGTATTTTGATCATGTTGTTTCTCTTCTAGGCGGAGACGTCAAAAAGATATAAAGGTCAATTTCGCCTCAATTTTTTTTAATGGAATTGTATAATTTTCTTTACATAATGTGATTCCTTCAAAATGAATAATTTTTTAAATAAATAGCTATGTGTTTTCTTTCCACCAATTTATTCATCTTGTTATCCTTTTTATAAAAGTATTAAGGTACGATTATCAAAAAATTAATAATTTATAAATTATTTAACATTTTATGTCACAATATGTGTCAATGAAGTACAAAATATCTCATAAACTATGGATTTTTTGATACCATTACCTTAATACTTTTATATGCAGAATAATTAGAGAAATCTCTTCAGAATATTGTATAAAAAAAATTATAGAATTTTAAAAAATGGAGGTGACCTTCAAATATTTTTGGCACCTCTACCTAGAAGAAAGAAAACATGATCAAAGCAAGTCTCCCTTGAAATCGTTCCACTTCTCGTTTGAAATATTTTTTCTTATTTCTAAAACTATAAGTGTTATTCGGTAGCCGGTCTTAAGTAACTCATCCTGTATATAGTTTTCGATTACTGAAATATAAAAGACGTTTTCAGCATATTTTACAAATCATTACAGATCTATTCTATACTCTCTCTCTCTAATTGCTAATGTTATTTTATTGAAAAATACTTATATTTTGAATATTTTGCTAGAAATTTTCTTTATGTATCTTTTCATTTCTAAGTTACAATTTAAAACTGCTGAAAAGAACTTGTGGCAGGATTTTTTGTTATCGAAAATCTCGTAAATAAAACATAAGTTTAATTACAATTTATAAAAATGCACTTTATCTTTTTATATATGTAAACAACATAATTGATATGAATGATATGCATATAGTTGAGCAAATATAAACAAATTAATATTATGATATGTACCTTGCAAGAATACATTTTGTATATTTAAAACAAAAAAAATCAATCTCATGATTTAAAAAATTCTGCAAATATATCATCGTTAGATTAATATTAGCACAAATACGACACGATCTTTGCAAAAGATATTGTCAATTTTTACTAATCGACAATATATACACAGAGATGCACGTATAACGTACGTTTGCAAAAATGCAGTCTAATCTGTTATATTAATGAAAAAAAGAAATACATTTATGTAACACTAAAGTCGGAAATTGCTGCGAAAAATCATTAAACACAATCATTTATTCTATCTGCGGATCTACCTTCGAATTGCACGTAACTTCTAGGACTATATCTAGATATTTAAGCGTCTTCATACTTACATGTCACATTTACGTAATTCATGTTACACGTTCTACCCTGTCTTTCAACCCATATTAATTAAAGGCACCTGAATTCAGTTGAAATTAGTTACCGTATTATAATCGGTCAACAATTTCATTAATATAATTAAAAATGTAATGTTAATGCAAGAAGCATAAAAATAATTATTCATTATTAAATTGTTTTTGAAACTTTAATTTACTTTACGATTATAAAATTAAATTTAGAAAATTGAACTTTTAGGCACTTTATATTATTGCGCAGGTACTAATTTCTCTTATTAGAAACTAAATTATGCCACATCAATGTTCATTTAAAAAGATAGAAAGTTCCGCGTCGCGTTTAAGAATATTCATTAGTCTAAATATCTTGTATAATATACAAACAATATCACAGTGATGACAACATTTATAATTATAGCATATAATTGTTCGCTTACTTTTATCGTGATTTTGTGATTTGATTATTAAATATATTTTATCCGAAATTATACGGAATTATATATTATCATGTAGACAGTTCATAAAAAAAATTAATTTATACATTTTAATTCGTTACATCATATTATATCGACTTACTATACTGCGAGTAACTTGAGTAATTTTAGGCACTTGTTAGATATCAACACACTATATATAATTTTCACGAGATTACGTCCAATTAAAAATATTTTACTTTTATAGAATTTTATTTCCAATAAAATATTTATGTTTTTAAAAAAATTATACGCACTAGTTATTAAAATTTGTTTCAATTGGCAATTAAAAAAGTGTCGCTCATTTTTAGTCTTACTTTTGCAGATTTTTTCCTTTTTTCATTTAAATTATATTAAATTGCTTTCTTTCAATTTTTTCGATCAAAGTTGATTTGTTAATTTCTCAATATTATTTATTTTTTTTTTTTAGAGTGTTGAAATATGGATTCTGAGATCACAAATAAGACTTTCGAATATCAATTACATTTTGAATTTGATCGCGATCATTAGCTTAATGTTTCTTCATATGATTAAGCATAATCGTTCGCGTAACAAATCCCTTTCCGCATAGCGTACAAGTATACGGACGCTCTCCCGTATGATAACGGCGATGCACGGTGAGCGTCGACGCTTGCGTGAATGATTTGCCGCACATGGCACAGAGATACGGCCTCTCGCCGGTGTGAATGCGCTGGTGCACCACGTAATACTTGCGATGCGTGAAGCCCTTACCGCATACGTCGCAGACTAGCGGTCGCGACCTGTGCACCGCCTTATGCGTGGTCAACGATTCGGCGGTAGCGAACTGCTTGGAACATGAGTCACAAGGATAAGAAGGTAGGGGCTTGATTACGGGGATTACAGGTCCACCACTTCCACCGCCGCCGGCACCGCCACCGACAACACCGAGATTGCCGGTTATCACCGAATCGACAGGCGACGACATCGCATTTGTACCCGCGCCTATCCGATTTTCATTACTCGCCGGCAACGGTCTGTGGGTTTTCGCGTGGTGATTATACAAATTGCGCGTTTCGAAGCGCATCAGGCATCTCGGGCAGGAATAGGGTTTCTCTTGGCCGATCTCTTGGTGCATCCTCCGATGACGTTCCAGTAGTGTGCGATAACGAAAGCTGGCCTGGCAGAGATCGCAGGCGAATGTTTTTTCCATGTTGCCACCGGACGATGTAGCGAGATTGGCGGAGGTTGACGCGCATGTGGGCATGGGCGTAGAATGTGTAACTTCGTGCATCCTCAGGTGATTTAAAGCAACGAAGGTCCGCGAGCAGATTGCGCACGAGTACCGCGGCTGATTCTCGATACCATGCTCGAATTCCGGACGCGCGGCGTGACTTGTTCGTATATGGTAGTTTAGCTTAAGGGTACTTCGGAACTCCAGCCCGCACGTAGGACACGGATAAGATTCAGTAAAGATTTGCACCTGATCAAGCAGAGACTGGTCCGGGCACACGGATTGAAAATGCGGGGGAAGCAACGTCGACGAAAGCATCGACGATTGGTTCGAAAATATCGAGTTAGTCTGTAGGAGATTACAATTGACGGACATACCGGCCTCCCCGATCTCGGGTGAGGGCGAGAGAATCTGACGCAGCATCCCTGATAATCCGCCGAAGGTCTCGCCTCCTTCCCTGAAATTGACAAAACCCAAGGACATTGCAACGGAGAACGACCCGTGAGCACACACAACTTTCGTCTTTTGATTCTGTTTTTTGTGATCATTACAAATATATCTTGCATACAGGCGGTGATGAGAGAAAGAGAGGAAGAGAAAGATAGAAAAAAAAGATAGATCTTATGCTTATGTGAGTGCTGCAAGGTGGCCGGTGCAAGGTGCTTGGGCATTGCTGGCATTCATTTAGAAACGCAGCAATAATAATAATAATAATAATAATGTGTTACAAGAGCGCATGTGCGAATCGAGAAAGTCGTCGCGATTGTCGTCAAGTCAAACAGCATTGGAAATTTCATCATCCACTACGTGAATACTCATCAAGCTTTCCGAATTCGTAAGGCTTACATGATAGTATTTAAATAATATTAGATGAATATTACATGATAAAAATGATTTATTAATTACGCGCGCGACATGAAATGATTTTGTAGTCTCATCATATCGTGTCCATTAATAATTAATTATAATTAAAAAAATATATATATATACATTAAATGTATATATAATATATTAGATATTCCCTAACGATATAGCAGAAGGGAAAAATAAAGATCAAGCCATAAAATTTGGCAAAGAGTTTGAGAAAAGCAAATTTTTACTTAAAAAACTCACTAATGACTTGAAATAGAACATGTTAAAACGCAAATTAAATCAGGTATAGAAAAATCTCACCTTTATAAGCATTCCATTACGATATGGCATCTTCTTCTCATTTGCACACATTTCGTAAAACGAAACGATTTTTCACATATATACTCATGTCCAACACACCGTAATATGTTATTTTAACATATCACTAATATACCGATAAAAACGTAATTAAGAATTGCAATAAGTACGGTAGACAAAAAAGAAAATCAAACGTATTATTCAGTACCGAGTGATGAGTAACTGAATCTATAAAAGTTTGACACAGTAAAAGTACAAAAAGTGCTATGTATCAATCCTTCATGTATTAGATACTCACTGTACTCAAAACTGAACAATTTTCTCCGTCAGAAGCGTTATAAAAATTTATAATATAAAATGATATACTCAGAATATTGCGATACAAATATCAAATATTGCAGCCAATTCAAGGCGCAATATTTTACAAAATTTTCATATATTTCGAACGCGAAACCGGCGCAACTTATAAGCAGCCTGGTTTATTATTTGTAAAAAAATTTATCCCTCGCGGTATATTTTTTTTGCACTTATGAAAGCGCGAAATAATACGCGCAATTCAAGCAATGTGCATGATAGAATAACTCATAATCGCGTCAGGATATTTATAAGAGAATATTCATTCGATACCAAAATGGCATCATAAACTTGTCATAGATAACACGAATTCGTATATTAGTATTATTGATACGAATTCACATTATTTTATTTGCATATAAGACCTATAAATAAAATATAATACAGAATGTAGGAAAGATACTCGCCTTTGTGTTTACAAACATCCTCTTGATTCAGCAGTTGCTTAACGGACGATTCTTTCTTTCGTTTCGCAGAAATCTTCGAATCGGAAGAAATACAATCCTTCATCTTCTTCAACATCGAAATTCTTAACCATTCTTAACCGATTTGTTTTCTCGGTTAAAATACACTATTACGCAACAATTTTATCGTTTGACGAATCATATGTAAAATATATTAACGATCTCGTAAAATACGTATTTTTTTACGTAGATTAAAAGTAACTCTTAAGATTAGTCGTAACACTAATAAAGTAATAGTGTCCTGGCAATATCGTAAAGCGCAGGCGTCGGAAAGCACGAAGATCATAAATCAGAAATAGTAGATATATGTTGCATTAAAAAAATATCTATCGTCTGTGATTTTTTTGGATCGGCCGAATATCGGTCATGTGCGGCATTTAGTGCCATCACGTAAGCGTGGGAATATTAATATCGACAACATGTAAACATTTGATTCATGAGTGGACAAAGAGATCAGGCTGGTTTCTCTCAGGCATCACTTTTGCTAGATGAGAAATTAATTTTTTTGTTATATAATTTACCTGGATAATCCAGAGAAATCCCTTTCTCCATTTTTTTTTGCACATATATAAATAATGTCTAACAAAGTCCATTTCGATTAAAGTATAAAATTAGTATCAAGTTCAATAAGATATGAAGAACATTATTCCAAAATTAATATCAAGATCGTGCTTATCGAAATGCACTTTATGTACATGCTACCACATGTAAAAGTAACAAGGTGCTTAGCAATTTGTACTCTAAATTCATCGCGTAATACATGTTTTCTTGAATAACTACAAACAAAATCGTTTAGAATTAATGTAAATGTTATAATATATAAAAAATTTAAATTGTTCTATTTAAATTGCTAAACACCTAGGGCCAAAGATGGTTGTGGGGTGTGTTCAAACTTACCTTGTGTTTACCTGGATCTTACATTCATAAGAATTAAAGTTACAGATGTAATTGGTGTCTATCTTGCATTTTCATTTCTACCTTACAGACTCGACAATTCTTTCAAAACTTGTTAGCAAATTTTTTAAAGAAAGAACATGAGATGCATAATTAAAAAGTTTAAAACAGAGCACAATATTCTCATATTATACGCACATTAGATATTGATTTTTTTTTTAGAAATAAATATACTTCAATACTATTGATAACTTCTGTTTTAAGTTACTGAAACTACTTTTTCATAATAATTCATTATCGTTAAATTTATTCTATTTATACATATCGCTGATTTGATAATTACGAATTCAAACTTAAATAAAATTAATAAAAATAATGAGTAAATAAAACCAACGCAATGTTTATGTATGATTGTATATGTTTACCACAACAAATGGCACCTTTGGCCCTTAAACAATAAAGTAAAAACAGAAAACTCACCCAGTTTTCGGATCCACATCTGATGTTTGTGGTATTACTATCTCCGGCATATCTGTAATTTTCTGTTGTTGAAGTCCTGAAGGTCCTGCTTCATCACACGCCAAAGAAACGTTGACAAATGTTGTAGGCTCAATAGTTCTATTATTAGGATCTTCTTCACTTTCTTCTTTTATAGGTAGGCCTTAAACAGAATTTAAGTTTTTTTCTTCCTATTTTTCTAAATTTTTTTATTATTTGTCTAGTAATTAAATATATGCATTACAAGATATAATGAATAAGACAGATATATATACCTTCGTCTCCATCACATTCATCGTCCGAGTTTTCATCTTCATCACTGCTTTCGTCTTCTTCTTCCTGTTGCGTAGGCGCGTCTGTTTGATTCTGTGTGATTTGGTCATGTGTCGTTTGTGTACTTGGTCCAGCTACTGGTTGAACATTTTGTACAGAGCTACCACTGTTGTCCATAGGAACTGAAGTTATTTGTTGCTGGGTATTACTTGACATCATCATGGGCATACTGAGGCTCATGTTGTCCATCATACTCATATTCATATTGTTCTGATGTTCGCTTACTTGTTGCATCACAGTACCATCTAACCTGTTCTCATTGTTCTGATCTGACTTTAGTCCGTTCTAAAATTTAATAAAATAAAACAGATATAAGTTTTGTACTTATTAAGAAATAAAAGTTTCAATAAACTAAACCTAATTTATTAATACATTGTCTCCTAATTGAAATAATCCAACTTATCTTTTTAATTATCTCATCATTATATCTCACTTAATATCTTTATAAAATTTATCAATTACTAATGCATATCAGAAAGGTTAAACATAAAATAAGGTTTAACATAAAATATATAAAAATATAAGATAAAAAGTTATAAAATAAACTTACAATATGTAAAATATTACACTAGCTATCATCATCGCTAAGGAGTTAAGGTAAACATAGACAAAAGAAGAATCAAACAAATGATGTTTTACAGATTTATATCATTTTTAAAGGCCCTCTAAATTTTCAAGATTGTACAGTATTGTACAAGGTGTGCATAAAATTTTTTGTAAGTTTGTCAAAAAAAATATTACTAAGTAACAAATAAATTATATGAAACAGTAATTACCGGATTGAGAACATTATAACCCTGTTTATCTTCCATATTCACTTCGCCTAGCCATTGGAGCAACTGTTTCTCAGCATTTGCTGTCGTATGCCAAAATTGATAACATAACTCTACTTTATACACGCAATCATCGCATATCTTCTTAGGTAATTTGTCTTCCCTGTTCACCTATAATCATAAAAAGAAAATTCATAAGACATCACATCTCGTATACACTGTAATATTTTAATTCGTATCAAAATTATATTTTAATATATTAAAATTACAAAGTTATTATATCTCGTATATTGTGTTAAAATTTAAATTAATTCAATTCATTAATATAAGGAATACTATAAATATTGTAATGCATGTATATTAACGTAGATTTCAATAAAATTGTTTTCTGGAAATTGCCTCTCGGAAGCAACAAACACAAGAGACGCCATTAAACCGTAGGCGATCAACGAGAAAGTAATGGCCAATGTACGCGTAGCGTTTATCCCGTGTTTTCTCTGTCCGTACTTAAGCAAGATTGCAGTTCGAATCGAGGGGAAGAACCAAAAATTATCAAATAAAATGAGGGAATATCGATCCAGGGAGGTCGAGCTAGTCGAGCAAGCATCGCTGTCACGCGTCTCGAGTAGGTAACGTCGGCGGCAAGATGTCGAAAACGGCTTGAGAAATAATAGATTTCGCGATACGCGGAATTAAACATTCTCAATGGCCGCGTTTCTCGCGAGGACAGATATCGACTTCGTCGGCGTCGATGCGCGACCTGAAGGGGGGTCGTATTCTTATCAAACGGCGTCCGTGCGAGGTAAAAAGCGCGGCAAAAATCCACCGAATAATTAGCGGCATCACAAA